AAAAAAATTCCCTACTTGCTCCCTTCCCTTCTGCAGACTGCAACGAGTAACTCCATTCAGTTCACTACTTTGCTTCCCTCTTAAAAGGCAGCAGTTTACAAGCAAAGCATATATCACAAAAGAAAAACAAATCCAAGGAAAATATACATTATTTAGTGTTTAAGAGAAAAACAAGATAAGCAAATGAACATTTACATAACATTTTAAAACTGTTAAGAATCCAAACACTATGTGTCCCTGAAGAATGTTAATTATTCAAAGGAATAGAATAAAATAGAATAGAATAACAGAGTTGGAAGGGACCTTGGAGGTCTTCTAGTTCAACCACCTAGTCAGGCAGGAAACTCTATACCAGCGACGGTGAACTTTTTTGGCTCGCGTGCCATAAGGGGGAAGCGCAGGGGAGGGTCGTGCGTGGTTGTGCCGCACCCATAATGCAACATGCAACCCCCTAGTGCGCATGCGCGCAAGGGAGGTGCTTCCCCCCCATTTTTCCATGCTTTTATCGCCCTCCCCAGGCTACAGAGGCTTTATAGGTGCCTGGGGAGGGCACAAATAGCCTCCCCCACCTCCCTCCAGAGGGCCTCCGGAGGCTTCAGAGACGGAGGACTAAAAAGACCCTACGAGCAAACCGGATGTCACTTCTGATTTGCTCGTAGGTTTAAGCCCTCCGACCCTACGAGCAAATCAGAAGTGATTTCCGGTTTGCTCATAGGGTCCTTTTGACTCCTCCAGAGGCTTCCGGGAAGCCTCCTGAAAGGTCCCTGATGAAGTCTCCGAAGGGCTTAAACCGACCCTACAAGCAAACCGGAAGTCCATTACTGAACTTTCGGTTTGCCCATGGGGCCAGTTTTTTGTGCTCCGGAGGCTTCAGGGAAGCTCCTGAAGCCTCCGGAGGGCCCCGGGGGGAGGGGGGACTCTGTTTGCCCTCCCCAGGCTCCTATAAAGCCCCTGGAGCCTGGGGAGGGCGAAAAATGGCTTTAAAAAAGGGTGAACTCAG